TCTCTGCTCCAGCTCAGCAGCCCCAGGGCTCTCAGCCTGGCCTGGCACAGAGATGCTCCAGCCCCTCAGCAGCTTCCCAGCCGCTGCTGTGCTCTCTCCAGTAGGTCATTGTCTCTCTGGAACTGGACCAAACACTCCAGAGGTGGCTTCCCTAAGGCAGAGGAGACTGGGAGGACAACCTCCCTCGGCCTGCTGGCCATACTCTTCTTCATGCACCCCAGGAGACCATTGGCCTTCTTGGCTACAAGGGCCCATTGCTGGCTCCTGGTGAACCTGTTGTCCCCCAGCACTCCCAGGCCATTCTCAGCAGAGCTGCTCTCCAGCAGGTCACCCCTCCCCTGTCCTGGTCCATGGGGTTCTTCCTCCCCAGGAGCAGGACCTGACACTTGCCCTGGTTGAACTTCATGAGGTTCTCCTCTGCCCAGCTCTGCAGCCTGTCCAGGTCTGGCTGCATGGCAGCACAGCTCTGGTGTGTCACCCACTCCTCCCAGTTTGGTACCATCAGCAAACTGGCTGACAGTCTACCCTGCCCCTTCATCCAGGTCACTGAGGAGTGTGCTGAAGAAGACTGGACCCAGTCCTGACCCCTGAGGAACACCATGAGCTGCAGGCCTCCAACTAGACTCTGTGCTGCTGATCACAACCCTCTGAGCTCTATCCTTCAGCCTGTTCTCAATCCACCTCACACTCTCCAAGTTCTTCTGGTCAGAGAAGTTCTCCTAATGCAGTGCTAGAGACAGAAACACTTACAGAACATAAGTTTTTAAACTTGCACAAATAAGATTTCTCACTTACAACCTTTGGTGTTTGCTGTGCCACTATTTAACGTGAGATGGGAACAAGTTTTACAGCTCAACTCCAGCACAAAGTCATTTTAAATTACAGGGTAATCTGCCTGCATCTGTTCCAGGGGCAGCCTTGAGTGGCTACACACGTAACTTTACATTAAATTATATTTGCACCTCATCCCTTCAAGCTTGGTACAGGGCCAGAATATTTTATCAGAGAATCCTGTGCAGCTGAAGGAATCTGACTGGTTTTTTAGTCAATTATGCTATCAGAAGAAATCTGTATCTAAGTAAAGGCTTTAAAGAACCAAATACATTCTGTAGTCATGTTTATCTCATCCATGAAAGACTGAATGATCCAACACAGCTTCAAGCTCTGCTCCTGACTAACTCCCAGCCCACCAGGGAGAAGAAACCACACAACCAGCTCTGGAAGACCAAACCACAGCCGAGCAGCAGTGCTTGCAAATGAAGGTTCAAGGAAGGGATGGATGAAGTAAGGTGAGCCCATGCAATAGGGCTGAGGAGGAAACCCATGTCTCCTTTGGGTACGTGCTGCTGTTGAGCTGCTCCTCACAGTCAGATGGTGCCTGGACCCACTTCAGTCACAAAGAGGAGCCACCCCTATCTGTGCCCATCCACTCCTCTTCCCCTCAGCTCTCCTCTGCATAGCTCTGTGCTTTGAGACTCGAGCACAGAGCAGCTCCTTGCACCTCAGTTACTGGAACGAATTTCTTACATAGAAACACAGCAGTGTGGCAAGATCTGAGAGAATTGGATATTCCCCATCAAAAGACACTTTTTTTTCCCCCACAAGGAAATCAAATTCACAGCTCTGCAGCTTCTTTTAACATCCACAGTCGTAAGGGTTTGAGCTTCTTGCCAACCCCACGTACCCACCTGCTTCTTCCCCTGGCTAGCACATCCCACGTCCCAGCTGCCAAGGCTCAGGCAGATCCCCACCTCTGTGCCCCAAGTTCTTGTTGCCCTTCTCCACAACAGGTCTCAGGATCTGTCAGCATTCGATGAAGCCCAGACAGATTTTTATATCCTTGATGTATTAAATCACCTATTACAAGGTCCCATCATGATTTAAACACGCAGTCTAGAGGTGGACTTGGCAAGGAGCACTTTGGTGGGGTGGATGCCTGGAGGCTGTGATGGGTTAAGTCTCCTGTGAGACTCTTAAAAAGGGGATTTAGAAGAGCAGGGAGAAAGGAGACCTATCATCAGACCAATATGCCCCTTTAAAAGGACCCCAGCAGAAGCTTGCTGTGCTCCAGCCGTTCCCTTGGCCATCAGCACAGGGTTACCACCCAACACCCCAAATCAGCCAGGAGACAATTCCCTCCCCTGGGTGGTGCAGTACCAAACATGCACAGCACACACCCCCCAGCACCTGGCCTGAAGGTGACCTGCAGCAACCCCTGTGTGCCCAGCTCCCCCCAAAAGCCAGCAAGCCTCCAGCACAGCAGATGCTCAGATGAGAGCAAGAGTTTTAAAAGCCATCCACTTCCACCAACAGAAACCTGTTTTTCTTTCCCAAAAACCACCCATTAGCACCACTGAGGAGAGCAGTCCCCACTCCTCAGCTCTGGAGGAGCACAGGGTTTTCCAGCAGACACAATGCACAGATTTTTGCAGAATTCGGGCATTCAACAGGACTAATGTGAAAGATCATTTTGCAATTATCTGAGCAATTTTCTCTCCTCATTTTCCCCGGCCCATAAGAGTTTTTAAATGCGAGCAGAAGGATTTATTCACCACCATAATAATAAACCCAAATATTAAATCAATGAATCTCTTTGCAGGAAGCATAAAGCTCACACTGCTGTTCAGCTCAGGAGCCTCCTGTCCCATAAACCACACACGCTTTAGGTACTTAAGCACCATCTCCCTCTTTTTATTTGTCCCCTCCCTAATTGGCACAGCATTATCCTTCCATTTGTCCTCTGAACACGACCAGATTCAGAGAACACAGTGGTGGTTCTTGTTGCTGGCTCTACACCTGCACTCTCTTTATGAGAGCACGTGGAAATTTATATTTAATACTGACTGCTAACAATGGCCAGTGCAGGAAGTGAGGCTGGGAGGACAGAGAAGTCCTAAATTAAACAAATCTCTACCTAAGGAGTAGTTTAGGGAGAATTAACTCCTTCCAAACACTGCCAATGTGCAAGCAAGTAGCTGGGCATGAAAAGGAATGCTGTTGGTTTTTGAAGGTCTCTCTTATTCTGTTTGGCTGGAGACAAATAAAATCAACCCAGACCTAAGTAAAACTCAGTGACAGCTTTTGGAGCTGTCCCAGGGTCACACTGACCTTGACTTATGTTTGCCCCTGTTTTCTTCTCTGCCATCCTTTGCAATATAAAGCACTAAGTGCCTCTTAAGGCCCATGCTTCAGTGGGTCCCTCTTTTTCTTTTTATAAAAGATTTAGCTGGTAAAGTGCAGAAAGAGCCACTACTTTGGTATTTATCAGGTGCCAACTGTCCTCACAGTGTGATGCTTCCAGAGCCTAAGCAAAGACCTACAACAAGCAGGAATCTCCAGCTTTAAGCCTTGAGAGTCATATTAGGCTCCATATGAGTGGTTCCACAAGGACTGAACCTGACACCCCAAAAATCCCATTTTTTTTCCCCAATTTAGGCTCTTCTGTGTAACAGCTCCTGTGTTTTGTAACCCAAAACAACCACAATTCATCTCACCTAAGTTCACACATCCATGGGGCAGAGACCTCCACCTCTGAACATCACCCACCTCTGAACATTGGCCATCTCTGAACATCAGCCTCCTCTGAACATGGGCCACCCTTCAAAACCAGTGGAGAGATATGGGTGTTTCTAGAGCAGAGGCCACAGCACTTTCATGCAAACACCAAAAATGGGTCAGATGAGCCATACCTGTAACCTCCCTGGTCTTCTCTGCTGATAAAGCATCCAGACCAGATACAAACACCTACAACCACACGAGATGAATGCTGTCCTAGATGACTTAAGCTGAGCTACCGTGCTACAGAAGAGCTACAGCCAACTTCAATGCAGAAGCAAGACCGTAGTAGCTTCATCTTTCTTACCATGATTGGGACACCAATGTCTGGCCACAGGAGATCCTCGGAGGGAAGCTTGGGAGAGTTCCACACCACCACAACTTTATTTAAGTAGGGGAGACCATTGAGCCTTTCTAGGGAGTTCATCAACACTTCCTCCCGCTCGTAAGTCAACATCACTACCGTGAACTGCTCCCGGGGGACGTTGCCACCCAAAGCAGCCTGGAACTCCTTCCCAGAGCCACCTGCTCCTCCACCAATTGGTCGAAAGCCAGTCCCAGACCCCAAAAATTTTGCTTCCGATGGTAAAACAGGGTCAAAGGGAGTGTAGGGGAAGAGGTGGAAAGGCCCCGGCGCAGAATTCCAATTCCTGTAGATGTCCATGGCGGTGAGGGTGAAATTGCGGAGATATTTGGGAGATGCATAAGGTGGTTCTGTTTCCACAGGCCCCAAGTCCAGGTCACCGTTGTCTGCCATGTTGGGGTCCGTGCCAGCAGCTTTGCCAGACCTGTGGGGAATCTCCACGGCGGTTTCCTCTCGGATGGGAGCGGCCGGGATTTGGATTCGAGTCCTTATGACGGCCAAGACCGTGCTGAACACGTTGTCAGAGGTGGAGAAGTAGGTCTCCCACAAGAAGCGGCCCTGCCTCCTCATGGCAAGGAGGTCGTTGTCAGAAATGCTTCTCAGAAGGAAGTGCACTTCTGTGATACGTGGCTTTGGTATGATTAAGGCTGCCTCGTTCCACCGGATCACGTCGTTGTAGGGTAGCTGAACTTGCTCTCCGAGAACCACCGGGATGGCTCCGACTTCCAGAGCCTCAAACAGTCTCATGGCACACCCGGCGGAGATCACTAAACGGGTGTCCCCCGGGGTGATTATCAGTGCAAAAGTAGATAGCTTCAGTAGCTCTAGTCTGTCGTCCCTTTCTCCACACAGAGCCCACTCAGTGGGCAGACTCGCCTTAGGCTGGTTCTTACACGTGAACTCCACCAGAACAAAGTCCAGCTTGCTGTCCTGCACGGCCTTCAGGGTGGTAATGATGCGGTCGTCGTAGTCAGCGGGGGCGTTGCCTTCTATCTCCTCCTCAAAGGAGCGAACCTCCTGCAGGCTAGACCGCAGAGACTCGATCTTCTCCCCCTGGAAACTGAACAGGTACTTACGTTTCACCGGCACCTGAGGGGGGATCTCTAGGAAGTTGGGTTCAGACATGGCGTGGACCAGAGGCGAGATGACGATGTCAAAGCCCGGCCGGTACTGCGCCTCGTAGAAGGTGGACTGGGCGACCATGGCACGCCCCGTGCTGATGTTGTAGAGGAAGTTCTGAGTCTCCGACTTCCTCGACAGGTTGATGATGAGATGGTTATGTCCATCAGTCCTCCAATATGGCAGAGAGTGCAACTGTTGCTCTAGTTCAGTAGGTTTTGGCATCGCGGGCTCTTGCATTTCCCCCACTAAAACTATATACACACAAGCAATGTTTGCGTTTTCAGTAACATAAACGTTAGTTCTGACAGTCGCCTCAAAGGCTTGTTTAATTAAAGGGTCTAAGGAACTCCCAAAGGGGTAATCATCGCTGTTGTAGACGTAGACTGGGAAGCCAGAGGTCAAGGGGCAGCGGGAGTAGTCGAAGCAGTTGTGCAGCCTGCAGCTCCGGCTGGATTTGGGCAGGGGGAAGGTCGCGTCGTCTTTGTCCGGCAGCAGCCGGATGGGCAAGGAGAGCTTGGGCTGGTTCTGAGCCATCAGCTCTTTGTAGGAATGCTCGGTCTGGCTGATGACGTTCTTCAGCTGCAGCAGGTCCTGCTTGGCATTTTCAATGCTCTTTTTGCAGGCCTCGATCTTCAGGTTGAGCTTGGCGATCTCGCTGTTGAGCTCCTGGCGCTTGGCCTCCAGCTGGAGCAGCTCCTCGCTGACCGACTCGCGGATGCGGCACAGGTCCTGCACGTGCTTCACCTCGCACAGCTCGTTGCCCGTGCGAGGCCCGAAGATGCGCTTGCCGGCGTCGTCGGCGTCGTCGATGGTGGTCAGGTAGTAGTGGGCGATGAGGGGGAAGAAGACGAGGATAATGAAGAGGGTGAAGCTCAGCCAGGTGAGCCGGATGCGACTGGACCACCTCAGCACCCACGGCTGGCCTCCGTTCCCCACGCCCCCATTCCGCAACATCGTAGAGCCGGTCATGGGCTCCGCGGCCGCCGCGCCCAGTCACGTGGGGTCAGTGGCCATAACCAAGGGAGTCCTTGCAGCGAGTCTCTGGCAAAGAGAAGCTATTGTGCCCGCTTAACGAGAAGCCAGAGGAAGGGGAATTTCATCTTCTTGCCCCGCCGGTGGCTTTTCCACAGTCGTTCTGCTGCAGGCGTGACTTTTGATCTGGTTCAACTCGACCATTGACCTCCTCAGCCACCCGCAGCCCACCCTGGGTGTGCAGACAACCTCTGCTGGCAGTGTCACAGCGTTGCCATGGTGATCTGAGGGCTCAGCCGGCAGAAGAACACAATGGGATCCAGGCAAACTCTACCGCCGCCGCTCTCGCCATCCCGCGCTGCCACCCAGGGCGTGTGCAGAGGCACCAGCCATGGTGCAGAAGGAGCCAGGAGGACTCGTAGGAAGGTCAGTGCCTCTCATCGCTGCTGCACGGCCGGTGCTCTGTCATTCCTGTGGGAGAACAAGCACAAAGTCAGACACAGCAAACAGAACAGCCCCTCGGTGACCTAAGACATCGCTCAGTTTCAAAAGCCCTCTCTGCAAAAGGGGAACCCCGGTACCCTGCCGACAGCTCCAGGGTGGGCACCAGCTCCCAGGGTGCTCCCAGCACACAGAACTCGCGCTGTGGAGCCCAGGGAGTTCACCATTGTTCTGCTCTAGTGACCAGAGCTGAGCAGGAATTTTTAGATAAGTGTTTTGCTTTCATCTCCTGCTGGAAAATTTTGATTCGTTGCATTCAAGTTTGATTCGCCGCCAGCAGAGCTGGGGCAAGGATCATCCCTGAGGACTCGGCCCTGGGGAGGATACACCTCGACTGCTGGGGTCAGGTTTGGGGCCCTCCCTTCAAGAAGGACCTTGAGAGGCTGGAGCAGGTCTAGAGGAGGGCAACGAAGCTGCTGGGGAAGGGTCTAGAGCCCAAGTGTGGGGAGGAGCAGCTGAGGGAGCTGGGGGTGCTGAGCCTGGAGCAAAGGAGGCTCAGGGGAGACCTTCTGGCTCTGCACAGCTCCTGACAGGAGCCTGGAGCCGGGGGGGGTCGGGCTCTGCTCCCAAGGAACAACAGGACAAGAGGAAAGGGCCTCAAGTTGCCCCAGGGGAGGTTTTGGTTGGGTATCTGGAAAAACTTCTGCTTAAGGGTTGCAAAGCCCTGTGCCAGGCTGCCCAGGGCAGTGGTGGAGTCCTCATTCCTGCAGGGCTTTCAAAGCTACAGAGATGTGGTGCTGAGGGACATGAGTTAGTGGTGGACTTGGTTAGGTTAATGGCTGGATGATCTTTTACAATCTAAGAGGAAGATTAAAGGGAACATGCTGGTGTTGGTTACAATTGCCTCTGCTGGCTGGCTGCATACAAGAGGGAATTTCTGGTCAAAACTGGAGAATTGTACACTGTACACCAAAGCAAAGTGGCTGAAGTTTGGATCCATTTGGTTCCACAGCACTCAGGCAGTACCAGCTTGCTCAGATCTGCCTTTTTGTGTGGAAAACTCTGCTCCAGCATTGAATGCTGAGCCAGCACAGGCCTAAAAATACAGGATTTGGCAAATTCAGCTCTAGGAGTGTGGTCTATGCCAACAGATTGAAATCTAGGCCACACGAATCTGCTGCCACTAGAAACTCTCCCTTCCCTTTTATTAGCATTCTCTGAGGTGCTTAAGTTTCTGGGATATTCTTTCCTATACTGGACTTCCCACATCACTGATGAATCTAGTGCTGGACTCCTGCACAGCCTCCAGAGAAGCTTATTCATTTCCGCTTCAATTTTTAATTAGAGGAAAGTCATCTACACTGGTGACGGTCATTCTTCACCAAATCTATTTAATACTCCTCTCATCTACTCATCAAGAATTAGCAGAGAGGCAGCAAGGAAGCAAATCTCAGCTGAAACAGAGATCTGGAAACGGGCCAAGGCAAACCAGAAGTTCCCCTTAAAAGAGCAGAGGGAAGTCAGGAATAATTTGCAGTGCAGTACACAAGTGCAGGTCAGAAAAAATAAATAGATTTGATTTTAATCAGGAAAAATCATCACAAAGGGGGAAATGAGAGGAGTAATAAAGCACAATTCCTATGCCTAGTTTGTCTGGCAAACAGCACTGGCGTAAATCTCAGAAAGCTGGGGGGATAAAAGGGCTGAAAAGTCAGCAAAAGGCTCCATCAGCTTCCTTGGCTCTTGGCACCCGAGTCCCTGTGTGCAGACAGGGAGGTTTGGGCTCTGCTGGCAGCATCTCTTCATCCTGCTCACTGCCCTGGCCCAGGCTGGGTGCTGGAGCTCAGGCCCTGGCAGGAGCAGCACCTGCCCCATGCCTCTGGGCCCAATGCTCCACACCAGCAGAGCTCCAGCAGGTGACAAGCAGGTGGTGGAAGGCCAAAATAACAATCATTTAAAAAGCTTCTGAAGTCTGTTTTTCTACCCTTTTCCCCCCCTTTTTAAGGAAATGCTGTCACTGTCCATGTGTAGGCACCAGTTGGTCAGTCACAGAATCCTTTTGGTTGGAAGAGACCTTTCAGCTCCTGGAGTCCAGCTGTTCCCCAGCCCTGCCAGGTCCCCACTGCCCCGTGTCCCTCACCCCACATCTCCACAGCTTGGGAACCCCTCCAGGGGTGGGGACTCCACCACTGCCCTGGGCAGCCTGGCACAGCCCTGGGCAACCCTCCAGGGCAAGAAATTGTTCCTCAGGGACAACCTAATCCCCCCTGCTATTTGAACCTGGTCTCACAGGAGCTGCAAAGATCCTAGAATTGCTACTAGTTTTCTGCAAACAGCTGCCCAGGAGATGAGAGCTGCCCTATTAACCCCCTTCCCAAGGGAAAAGCCAAGGCACACACTCACTTGAACACCCATGAATCTAAAAACCAGCTTAACTTGAAGGCACATGAGGGAAAACAAGCTCTGCTGAATTTTTCTGCTTGGTGGTGCCATGGGGTAAGACAGTCAAACCCTGCAAGGTGTTGAGACAAGACAGAAAGAAGGGATGACAGAAGTGGCTGAGAAAGAATGAGGAGGCACGTGGACACAATGCTTCAGACTGGCCAGAGAAAACTGCAGCCCCCCAGGCAGTAAAGGCAGCTCCAAAGGTTATTAGCTGAGCCTGCATCTAAACCTTGTTCCTTCATAGCTGCTTTGCCCATTTATGAGCCTTAACCAGCAATGCAATGGCAAACTGGACTCCCTAAAATGGCAGCTAGGGTCCTTGAGAAGCTAAATCCATCTCCCCACACATGATCCTCTGCAGCTGTTCTGCCACCTGATCCTTCCAGGGGCTCCTCTGGCCCTCCCGTTCGCTTGACACAGACCAAACATTATCCTCCTGACCTGAAATGAGCTGTGAATTGAAAAAAAAAAAAACCAACCTAAATCTGTATGCTCAGAAATCCGAAGCTGACAAACTGACTCCAGCACTAGGCTGGAAAAGACCACACAGGACAGATCAGGGCAGGCTGGGGAGGGATTTAAAATGCAACACGCATGGCTTGGGATCAGTTAAAAGCATGGGCTGTCAGTGTGAAATGTGTGCTGGTGATAAAGCAAGCTCTTTAGACACACTCTCAGACTCTTCTTCATTAGTAAGACTTTATCCCTCATCAGCTTGATAGAGCCTGACTCTGTAACACATTGTTATTAGGACTTCAAAAAATACAAGCAAAGTAAAAATGCAACCTGTGGTTTGACCACGAGAGACTTCAGTGTTGTATTTAAGATAAGCAGCCCTGGGGAAAAAAAGCTGCTGATTTCCATAGTTCCCAAACAAATGGCTAAGAGGAGGAGAGAAGGGTTGGTTGCTGGGCTCTCCAGCCAACCCATTCCTCTCCCTCCCAAGTAGTCCTTGAAACTGGTCAAGCGCCAGGTTGAGAAACTCTTGTTGACACTGTAACACAACGTTGGTGCCTGATAGACCTAATTACACACAGGCAGAAGAAAACGAGGCAGGGAAAGCTCCTGGGAAATCAGAAGCTCAGTAATGACCAGAGCCTCTTCCCAAGTGCCAACCTGATGGACTGCTCGGGTGCACCAGGTTTGCAGGTGCTGTTCCCTCTCCCACAGCACAGGGCTGAGAGATGAAACTGCTGCTCAAGCAACGTTGTCCTATCTTAGTTCAAATCTCAGGCTGCTTTCCCAGCTTTCCTCAACTCCACAGCAGCCCTCCCTGTGCCAGGGAAGCTCTGGAACACCTGAGGTTCTCCCTCATTCTGCATTTCCAGGAGAAAGAGCCAGGCTGGTCTGATCTGTGGCTGCTCGTGGAGTCATCACCCTGCAAATGTCCAGTCACCAAGCTCCTGCAAACACCTGAGCACACCTATTCCTCCCTGCTGACACCTCCTCCTGTCCAGCTCCCTATAAAACTAGGGAAATGTTGTTCCTTTCTCAGCATGTTTGTGAACACAGCCTGGAAATTTTAAACTTATCATCCTCCAGAGCTCAGCACAGCAATAAATAACCATTAGGCAGAACATGGTGACACAGGCTGCACTGAACTTTCCAGGAGGAAAAATCCACAGGGATCCTGCATCTGCTAAACTCCTAAACTCGGTCTGTACACACTCAAACTCCTCTTTATCCTCTTTCCTCATCAAATGATGGTGTTATTGCTTCTGCTTGACCTCCACAAATGTCCAGAAACACAGAGAAGGAGCATTGTACCCACCTCTGCCATGCAGGCTGGGCAGCAAAGGATGGCAGGCAGCCTCTTGGTGCCTCCTGGGCTTTATCTGTCCAGTCTTCAGTAGACAGTTTCTATTGCCAAGAAATCTCTTTGTCACCAGCCCTAAAAACTGGAATCAAAGGGACAAAAAAAGAAATTATCACTTTTTGCTTTTTAAAAAGGAGGAGCAGGAAATTCTGCTGAGCCAAGAAAATATCCCTCCCTCTTTTACAAGAGGTTTATCTGGGGAAATGGAAAACAAACAAACACAGAACAGCCCTTCAGCAATGACTTTCTAGTTCCCAGTGCTCTCAAAGGAAAGGATTACACCCCAAATCTCTGA